ATTTTCATTCATTCACTGCATGAATTCAGTCTTCAATTTACTAAGATCTGCTTTCTGGTCGATCATATATTCTATCATAGAGAATGCTTCATGTGTATTTAAAAAACAATGTGTCTGACACAGGCTTTTTGTGGAGTGTTTTATATATGTCAGTTAGGTCAAGTTGTTTAACGGTGTTGTTCAACTGTTCAATATCCTTGCTAATTTTATGTCTAGTTGTTCTACCAATTATTGAGTATGGGTATTAAAATGATCCACTGCTACTGTTAAGCTGTCAGTTATGCCTTTTAATTCTGCCACTTTTTGCTTCCTCTATTTTCAAGTTCTATTTTTAGGTATGAACACATTTATACTTGTTCTGTCTTCCTGATGCATTGACTCTGATACCATCATGTTATTTCTTTCATTGGCTTTCATACAATTTCTAGTTTTGAAATGTTATAAATTCTTTTCCTCTGGTATTAATAAAGCTACTAGAGTTCTCTTATTGTTGTCATTGACAGGATGTGTCTTTTTCTATCCTTTTTGCTTTCAACCTATTTGTGATTTTGAATTTAATGTGTGTCTCCTGCAGACACAATATAAACAGATCCTGCTTCTGTATGCAGTCTGATTGCCTCTGTTTTTTAATCTGGGTGTTTAAATCATTAAAATTTAATGTAATCAATGGTACAGCTGGATCTGAGTTTGCCATTTTGTTATTTGTTTAAATGTCTTAGGCCTTCTTTTTACCTCTATTCAACCTTCACTGCCTTCCTTTGTGTAAACTAAACATTTACTAAATACGTTATCTATTATTTTAATTTATAAAAAAATTTAGTATATTTTAATATCTCAGTGGATGCTCTAAGGGTTGCAATACATTTTAGCCCTTGGAAGTGTACATCAAGCTTAATAATTTATTTTCAGTAAATGTAGAAATGTTGTTCATGTATAATTCCAAACTATCTCCAATATTATCCTGTCATTACTTTATAAATTACATCCTAAATGTTATAAAGCCATCAGTTTAGTGCTAATTTCACTGTATTGCTATGAAATAATGATTATTACTTTATATAATCTTATGAGTTAAATAATATAAGAAAAAAAAAAGAGAGAAAGTGTTATATTAACTAAGTTATTTACCATTTCTTGTGCCCCTTATTTCTCCTTGTGGATTCATAGGTCACCATCTAGAATAATTTCCTCTCAGCCCGAAAGACTTACTTTTGTTATTTCTCATCATATAGATCTGCTAACAAGGAATTCTCACATTCTTTCTGTTTACAAAGAACGTTAGTTTACTTTGTCAAAACCTCCCAATAGATGGAACCGGGCAGGAGGCAGATGGGAACAGCCATAGGCCAGATCAAAAGACATGTCGCCTTCTCACTTGCTGTATGCTTTTAGTGAGTTTCCAGAGCACAGAAATGGTTGACTTGTCCATTTTATCCAGCCTCGTGGTTGCTTTTTAGAGAAGATATTCCAACATTTTCATCTCACTACAGATGGAAATGCCTTCCTCAAACTTAAAGTTCCATATTTTATTAACTCTAACCTTGAACAATATTTTATGAATACTAATCACTTTATTTCTTAATGAGATTTACACAGGATTTAGTCTGTTCAGACAACTATAACAAAATACCAAACACACTGAGTAATTTATAAACAAAAGAAATGTAATGCTCATAGTTCCTGGGGATGCATTACTATGGTCTGAATGTTTGTTTCCCCTTAAAATTTGTGTGTTGAAACACAGACCCGAAGGTGGTAGCATTAATAGGTGGGACCTTTGGAAACTGATTTAGTCCTGAAAACTCCACTGACGCGAATGGGACTATTGTCTAGAAAAAGGCCTGGTCTACGGCCATACCACTCTGAAGGTGCCCTATCTCATCTGGTCTCAGAAAGAAAGGCCTAAAGGAGCTTGTTTGTCCATTCTGCCAGGAGAAGACACAACCAGAAGGTACCGTCTTTGAAGTGAAGAGCAAAACTTTACCAGACACCAAATCTGCTGGCAGCTTGACTTTTGACTTGCAAACATCCAGAACCATGAGAAATAAACTCTATTGCTTAAAAATGATCAGTCAGAGGAACTTCATTAGAGAAGCCAGAACATACTACGATAAGATTGGTATGTTTTATTTCCAGTGATTCTGTATGGGATTTATTTATGACTAGTATTAGTTTTGGCTTTTATTCCTTTGACATCATTTATAAGTTGATCGACTGGGTCTTTTGAATTTATTTGTGTTCTTTGGTCATTTAATGACATTTAGTAACATAAGTTTATCCTTTATGTCTTATTATGTTCTCTCAAAAGCTATTTTATAAAGCCATTTACAGATGACGGCATTTTTCTGAATAAATCCTCTCCAGGCATAAGATTTGATGTATTGTCTTTAATTCCTTCCTAGATGTGATGCAAGTTCTCTTTTTATTTCCTATTTGAGTCAGAAGAAATATAAAACATGTGCATTAATCTCAAATTAGGTGAAGCTTTAGCTGCTTTTTATGAATTATATTTATATTTACTGAACAGTGAACAAAGGACATACCCTTCTAAATCTCTACTATTTTAATATATTAAATGATTTTTGTGCCAAATGACTAACTTAAATACTTTGGCAATATTTAAAAATTTTCATTCTCTAACTATGCAATGTAAGATGTTATATTTAATAAATATATGTGAATTGATAATCCATTCTTGATTTCTTCTTTATGAGCCTGAAATTGATTTATGTATAAAAAAGCATAAGTCAGAAGTAAATATGTATAAATTTAATCAGTGCTTATTTTAACATGATCCTTGTATACCAGTGTTTTTTTGTTTGCTTTTTTACAAACAAAGCATTCCCTTATTTCCTAATCCATTTATGAATAAATGGTATATTCAGGGTCAGCATGGTAGCTCAATATGCTAAGCTGCTACCTGAGATGCAGGCATCCCATACTGGAGCACTAGTTGGGGTCCCAGCTGCTCTACTTTGGATCCAGCTCCTTGCAAATGTGCCTGGGCAAAGCAGTAAATGATAGCCCAAGTCATTGTCCCACCCATGTGGGAGAACAGGATTGAGCTCTAGGCCTGCCTTGGGTCTGGATCAGCCCAGGCCATTGTGGGCATTTGGGGAGTGAACCAACAGATGGAAGATTCATCTTTCTCTCTCTCTCATACTCTGCTTCAAATAAATTATTTTTTTAAATAGATATTTTCTACTGAAAAGCAAGTGGAAATATGGCTTACTAAATAATAAAAAAGCATGATATCTGAGAATTAGAAGATAATGATATGGGAAAGTACAATCTTTAATGAAATAAACAGCAAGCACACAAGACATTTAAAGTGTTTATTATGAAAGGAATGCATACAAATGTGTTACATAGGGTAAAGCATTACTTGGTATACAGGGATATACTGTACAGAAAATTCTGGACATAGACTACCAAGCAGAACTACACATAATACCCAGATAGAAAGCACAACTATATGAGCTGAAAAGTGGAAAGTTAGGAGCCAGTATTGTGGCATAGCATGTGAAGCTGGTACCCCATACTGCCACAGGTTCCTGTCCTGGTTGCCCTACTTCCAATCCAGCTCCCTGCTAATAGCCTGGGAAAGCATGAAGATGCCAGTGTTGACTCTGCACCATGTAGAAGACTGGATGAAGCTCTGGCTCTGCTCAGCCTAGCTCAGCCTGGGCCCTTGTGGCCATCTAGGGAGTTAACCAGTGGATGGAAGGTCTATCTCAGTCTTTTCCCCTCCTTGTAACTTGGACTTTGAGAATAAAAATAAATCTTTAAGAAAAAAAAAAGTGGAGGCCGGCGCCGCGGCTCACTAGGCTAATCATCCGCCTGCAGCGCCGGCACACCAGGTTCTAGTCCCGGTCGGGGCACCGGATTCTTTCCCGGTTGCCCTTTTCAAGGCCAGCTTTCTGCTTTGGCCAGGGAGTGCATGGAGGATGGGCCAAGTTTTGGCCCCTGCACCCCATGGAAGACAGGAAAAAGCACCTGCTCCCTGCCTTCGGATCCACCGGTGCGCCGGCCGTGGCGGCCATTGGAGGGTGAACCAACGGCAAAGGAAGACCTTTCTCTCTGTCTCTCTCTCTCACTGTCCACTCTGCCTGTCAAAAAAAAAAAAAAAAAAAAAAAAAAAAAAGAGGGGAAATTTAATTTCTGAGGAAACAAGCGTCTTGATGAGAATGTGGGGTTTAAGACATTTCAGGTGGAAAACTGAAGCAAAAGCACAGTAGCCTGAGCAGGTTTCACCAAGCTGTACAAAATGGAGGGCTGCCCTGCTTCCTGGCTTTTTTTGTGTCTCGGTGGCGTTTTTTCAGACAGGAAGGGCGGGAGAAGAGGACGACAGGACCGGGGTGTTAGCATATCTGGAGCTCTACTGCCATCGTGCGGAAATAGTTTCAAAATACCCTGCAGTGTTACCGAGTCCTTCCCATGAAGCCTAGTGGTTGGGGGAGAACTGGCGGGAAGCTGGTGCTCCAAACTAGGCCTCTTTGCCTTTTCCTCCATGTCCTTAAAAGGGACCTGAACCTTGGCAGTATCTGGGTGTTAGACTTGGTGAGTGAGGGGCCTGAAATGAACCAGCAAGTGGCTGCAGGCACTGGCAGGGAAAATCGGGGGGCGTGGCCTCAGGGAGCCCTGGAGTCTGGCCTGGGTTGTTCTAAGTGCAAGCAGGACCAAAGGAACCCACTGGAAGATAAATGCAGGCCCTGGTGGGCATTCATCTTGTTCCTGCCCTTTGGCTCAGAGCAGTAGCAGGCTTCCAGCTGGTGCTATGAGGCACAGGTCTCTTGTCATGGGGCCAGAACACAAACACAAGCCAGTTCCAGGGGGCATGTAATAGGGGCAGGTGTGCTCCCTGAGGGCCTCAGGTGTTCCCAACTGTGTGAGACTAAGAGGGCCCACAGAACCACCCAACCAAAGCAAGAAGTGCTAAAACTTCTAGTACCCACCCCAATCCATGGGCCTACTTTGTGAACAGTTCTAAGAAGCAGAAGTTGCTATGCAAAGTACTTTATTTGCAGCAAATAGCAATGTCACAGGGAATCATTTTCAAAGCCAAGCCTCTCCAAGTAAGGGAAAGGGTATTGTTAATTTAAGTGGAAAATGAATATTTAAGAGGGGGCATTCTTGTCATCCCATGTAGGGTAGGGGTGTCATCACACTCATGCGCAGTTTGGGAACATGTTATCAACACTGGATGTGTGTTACAGTAATGAGATGTTAGTAATGAAATGAAGCAAATCTGACCTTTGGGTACTTTTTGATGCATCTGTGCAGGCACCACTCTTACAGTAGGGCCTGAACCAGTTCAAGGCGGCTGATGTTTGCTCCTCTCCCTGGAATGTGTCTGAAAACCTGAAAGACAACTTTGGAGAACATCAGGTGCTTTTAGGATCTTGAAATAGCAATGAGTCATAAAAAACAACAACAACAACAACAACAAGGGGCCAGCAATAAGCTGCCCAGAAATGTCAAAATTCACCTTTACAGAACTCTCAATTGTGTCCATAAAATACATCTAGTGAAGTCTGGGTGAAGAAAGAACTGACCGCTTGACTTTTTGCTTCTTTGATAAAAACAGAGAAAGTTGTGACATATAAATGAGTAAAATGCAATTGATAAGAGGACTGAGTTTTTATTAAGTTTCTGTTACAGAAAATCATACTTCTTTATAATTGTTCAATTTTTCACTTCTTTGCCAGGTGCTTATATTATATTTAGATTTCAAGCACTATTGATTTGATGTTATTTTTTGACCATAAACAAATGTTCTGAGATTTATCAACAAAATACTAACACAAAAATAGTGTACAGTATTGGAAATTTCCCATTTCTCAATACTGTATGAAACATTCAGGGCTCCAAGTTCCACCTAGAGTGTGACCAAGAAGAAACTGAAGAAAGCGTTACTGGAAGTGTGTGTGTGTGTGTGTGTGTGTGTGTGTGTGTGTTGAACACCTCATTGAGCCACAGGGGCAGAGTACTTATAAGCCTTTATCTATTTACTTCGATGGTGTCGGCTCTCCTGAACAATCATGTGTCTTCCAGAACATTCAAATGCTGCACCCATCAAGCTGCCAATGGTGGTGGCCTCTAGAAAGTTAGACATGCAGTGAAAAGTTTCCTTTCGTGCTTCATGGATTGCAACAGTCTAAGATTTTTCAACAGGATAACATTCTGGTCACAATTTGAGAATTAATCTATAACAAACGTGCTGAAGACACTGTTACTGCAAAATGCTTAATTGATATCATGGAACTGAGTAATCCATACTCATAATTGAAATTAGAAAATAGGAGTATTAATGTTACACCAACGTTTTCAAACTACACATTTCCTGGTGATGGCATTAGTTGGTAGCCTTGCTCCATTTTTCATGTGTGGCTACACCATACTGTAAAGAAGCAGGTCTAATTTACACAGATGCCCAAAAGAAGCGGGCATTGCTAAGAAAAATCAGTGGTATCCCAAGGAATATTTAAGAAAACAATTTTTAAGAATATTTAACAAGTTTGTTAGTATTCAAATTGTTATACTGTAGAAAACATAGTTGAACACTAGAATTATAAAGGAAAAGCAACTTTAAAAGAGGAAGTTCATCTTATAAGAGAAGATATGTGAACACAGGATAAAAACATTTTAAAAGTCATTTATGGGGCCAGTGCTGTGGCGTAGAGGGTAAAGCTGCCGCCTACAATGCCGGCATCCCGGATGGGTGCTGGTTCAAATCCTGGCTGCTCCTCTTTTGATCCAGCTCTCTGGTATGGTCTGGAAAAGTAGTAGAAGATGGCACAAGTCCCCGGACCCCTGCACCCCTGTGGGAGACCCGGAAGAAGCTCCTGGCTCCCAATCGGTGCAGCTCCGACCTTTTCAGGCATCTGGGGAGTGAACCAGCAGATGGAAGACCTCTCTCTCTCTCGCCTCTGCCTCTCTGTAACTCTGCTTTTCAAATAAATAAAAAAATCTTTAAAAAAAAAAAGTCATTTACTCGGGGTCTGAGCTGTAGTGCATCAGGTTAAAGCCACTGCCTGCAGTGCCAGCATCCCATTATGGGCACAGGTTTGAGTCCTAGCTGCTCCACTTCTGATCCAACTCACTGCTATGGCCTGGGAAAGCAGTGGAGGATGGCCTAAGTCCTTGGGCCCCTGCACCCGTGTGGGAGACCTGGAAGATGCTCCTAGCTCTTGGCTTCTGATCATCTCAGCTCCAGCGGCTGTGACCATTTAGGGAGTGAATCAGCAGATGAAAGACCTCTCTATCTGTGTCTCTACCTCTCTCTGTAACTCTTCTTTCAAATAAATGGAATAAATCTTAAAAAAAAAAAAAAAAGAAAAGTCATTTACTCTTGGAATTGGAAAGCACTTATGTATGGTTTAATGCTGAAAATTTGGTAATTTTGTAAATCTTGTGGAAGACATACCACTGTGTAGAGTAGAATATAAAGTTTGTGTATTTTTACATATAGGAACTTGGTGATTGCCTAAGATAATAATCAATATTTTTAAAAACTTCCTAATATGTATGCTCAACTTTGTTTAAAGAATTCACTTTCATGTGTATGCACTTATGTGAATGTATTGGTTTAATAACTGTATTTTAATCATGGTGATTATTATAGTCAGGAGGCTCTGGATTCATGTATGTATGTGTGTACTTATTCATATAATCAGAGATAAGAAGAATTCTGAGAGGCATATAAAGCTTGCAGATGAATCCCCTTCAAAGCTTTGCTAGAACACAGTTGGTCTGATCCAAACCACAGTGTACACATTAATCTAATTTTAATATAGACTTACTTTTTGCATGGAACTCACTACAGAAATATGAGTATATATTGAAAAGAATGCGAGGAAATAATCCAAAGGTTGGTCAGTTGTCTTAACAGGTTCTCTGACAGATCTTTATTTCATCAGAATATTTTTATTTACTAAATGCTTTGCAAAAACCAGGCTCCATGAGGAAATAGCCTAAGTCTGATGCCTAAGAGATCAAATATAACATGCACACAAGTGTGCAAACAGCAAAATCAGAAGTAAAAGTTGAAACGTACCTCATATCATCAGAATGTACTGTGTTCCAGTGTCAAATGATGAGACCATGATTAGAAATTCCAAGAAATCTCTTAACAGGCAATACCCATGTCCTGTGGAGCAGCGATTAAGCTAACTGGGCCTGCTCTTATGATTCTCGCCAAAGAGCAGCCCACCATAAGGTGAGAAAACGGAGAACTCCACTGTTTGGGAGGGGAACCAGGTGAAATATCGCGTGAATTTATGAATGGATGGCTCAAGATTATCTTCAGGGTTCAGGTAACTTCTTCATTTCTATCGGGATCCACCTAACGTCCCCCACTTCAGACAATTTGATGCTGAAAATTGTGAAAATATTGCCTGACATAGCGTCAGTCCGGTGGAATTTAATCTCTGGAAGGACAAGATTCTTCATGATGGTGTTAGTTCCAAGCTCTAATGTGAGGCTGTTTAGCAAACTAGACAAAATGGAGGGCCGCTATATTTTCTGGTGATTTGGTGTCTTGGTAGCGTTTTTTCAGACAAAAAGGGCGGGAGAGGAGGACACCAGGACCAGGCACTTAAGTATAGCAGGAGCTCTACTGCCATCGTGCGGAAATAGTTTCAAAACACCCAGCGCCATCACAGCAAAACACCCAGCGCCATCACAGCTTCCTTCCCATGAGTCCTGGCTGTTGCGGAAGGTCTGGCGTGAGGCTTGGGTTGCAAATTCGGCCCCCTTGCCTTTTTCTGTGAGTTCTAAACATAGACCTGGACCTTGGTGGCATGTTGCTGTGGGACTTGGGGGAGTGAGGGGTACGGAGTAATTCAGCAGTTTGCAGGACGTACTGGTCTGTGATGTCATAAGGCGGGACTTGGGGGATTGTCGGGCGGATCCTGGGTTGGTATGGCTGTGGACACACCACAGGAACACCACTCAAAAACAAATGCAGGCTCCAGTGTGCGTTTTTCTCTTGTTTTTGACCTCTGGAGCAAAATAAGCAGGCTTTCGTCTGCTCGCTTCTCCAATACTCCCCGATGCCCCGCCCCGCGACTTCCGGGCCGCTGCCTCCTGGCCACGGCTGCTTCACTCCAGACCCCTCACTCGGAAGGTCCTACGCCAACATAATGCCAAGGGCCAGTTCTCCGTTAAGGACTTGGAGGACAAGGCTTGCTGGCCCAGCTTGGAGCGCGAGCCTCTGCAAGTCAAACTTCCGCAACAGCTAGGCCTCATGGGAAGGAAGCTGTGCCGCCACACGGTGTTTTGAAACTCTTTCCTCACGATGGCAGTAGAGCTCCACAGACGCCCAAGAGCCCGGCCCTGGCGTCCTCTTCTCCCGCCCGTCCTGTCTGAAAAAACGCCACCAAACACACACAAAAAAAGCCAGGAAACATGGCCACTGGCCTTTTGTTCAGTTTGGCAAAACAAGCTCATGCCATTGCAATTTTGATTTTGGTTTCCAACTGAAACCAAACAGGTCTGAAACCATCCTCATGAGGATTCCTGCACTTTGACACATTAAATTGACGTTCTCTGTCATCTATGGGGGTGAGATTTACTTCGCTCAGGATGGCGCGTCCAGTACTGTCTCTTGCCACCAAATTTTCTCCTTTAAAAGGCACATTGGGTGGCTGAAGTCACTGAGAGGAAGAAATTGTTTCAAACCTGGAAGAGGTCTTTTCTAGCAAACAATTCACAAATCCAAGTGGTCTTTCAGCTGGCTACCTTCCCAAACAGGGAGTCTCAATTTTTAGCCTTATCTGTAGCATTGTTCATAATAATATGGCTTGAGCCTTGACAGGAGTGACCAGCCATTACTTTGTACCAAACATGCTCAACATAGCATGATACTCATATCACAGTTACATCATTTTCCACCAGGGGTTACTCAGCGTTTCATTTCATGGTCTCATCATTTAACATCAGAACACAGGCATTTTCCCATGCGGTTAAATGTTTTCCAGCTGCTTCTTTTGACTTTGTGGAATATATGTGTGAGTGTGTTATATTTTCTATCTTAGGTGAAAGGCTTACAACATTAGCAAATTAAGGAATAGTGCTTGCCAAGGATTCAGAAAATAAACATGTTTTGGTGGAAAAGATAAGCAAGCACAATTTGTCAAGGCAACAGATAAACTTTCAGATTCCTTCTAAGCATGTCTTAATATATACATAAGTTTCTCCAGATTGGGTGTAATCTATATTAAAATTGGATTAATATGTGCATTGTGGTTTGGATTAGACCGGGTATACATTTTAAGGAGATTTGGGGAGCATGAATTTGTCATAATGTCATCAATAATTAAGTCTTATTCGTCAACATTTCACACTGTTTTGGGTGCTTGGGTGCTATCTGGGAATGCCTGGGTTTCATTTCCAGCTCTGGCTCCTGATTCCAGCTTCCTGCTACTTCAGACTCTGGGGAGAAGCAGTAAAGGCTCAAGTAATTGGGTCCCTGCCAACCCACATGTGAGACCCGGATTATGTTCTGAGATCCTGGCTTCAGCCTACCTTAACCCAGCCCTGGCCACTGTAGGCACTTGGGGAGTGAACCTGAGAAAGGGAAATCTCTGTCTCTCTCTTTGTTTGTCTCCCTTTTAAATAAATAAAAGAAATACAATTTTAATTTAAAAATTAAATTGAAAATTTTACCCCCTCAAAAACACTGCTTTAGAAAAGTAAACACTTAGTTGCTTTGGATTTTTACTAGAATGTGGAAGTGGAACCTTTGGGAGAAGACTGAGTCATGGTCTACTCTTATGAATGGATTGATCCACTCATGGGTTACTGCATTATCAAGAGAGTGACTTTGCTATAAACACAGCTCTCTTCAGTATGCTGCTCTTCCTCACCACCTAATGCACTTCTCTGTGTCACAACCAAGTAAGAAGATCCTCACCACGTGCAAAGAAGATGCCAGCACCATGCTCCTGGCCTTTCGGAACTCCAGAATCCTTGGTTAAACAAACTTCTATTCATTATAAATTACCTGCTTTTGGGTCTTTTGTTATAACAAGAGAAAAAGGACAAAAATACATAATGTTATGCACACTGGCTGTGGGGAAGGTATATATACCAAGGGATTTCAAAAAGTTCAAAGAAATGGAATTAGAAGATAAGTATATTTTTATATTTATGTTTTGAAATATATACACACTTGGGATAATTTCATGTTCTGTGAACATATGAAGCACCCTCATATGTTCATTTGTTTGATTCGAAGTTATCACAAATGTTAGAAGTAAACTATATATTACTTTGTTTTTCTTACTGGGTGTAGGCAAGCCTGTATGATTTGGTCTTCAAGGTTCACCAGTTTGCTTTTCTCCCTAAATCAAAGGCAAGTAATGTCTGTTGATGAGGACACAGAGAATGGAATTCAGACTTTGTGAGGGCTGACATGGATCCAACCAAACTCCAAATGATGAACTCATTGCCCCTCCCTGGTATCCACCCTTGTAAAGGAAACATTCGTCAGCTTCCTTGGCCCACTATCACTCAACTACAGTTGATTGCCTTGCTAGGCTTCCATCCACTGCCCAGGCACATGGCCTTTATTAAAGATAGTCAGCAAGGGTGGATAGAACTCAACAATGCCATCCCTCTTAGGTTAGGGGGTATGCCAACAGCGGTAAGCCATCTATCTGCCCTCCTTGATAGAACTGGGATGACATCAGGGTCTTGTCAGGACAAAAGACTTTACCTTGTACCTGCAAAACAACACAAGTTCTTAGCTTGTGTGCTCAAGGAATTTCTCAGACCTGCCACTGTGTTGGTTTTCATCTACTTGAACAAAAGTCTGCTCTCCTAGTAGATGTTCTGGCCCATATTGGCATGTCAGTACATCCCCGCTCCTTCAACACAGATCCTTCTCTCTCTAAGCAATGATGTCCTGGACTTTTGGGGTATTTAAGACCACATAAATAACAATATGCTCTAGATAAATGGTACTGGAAACTGACCTGTTCATTGTTATCTGATACTTTTGCTCTAAAAGGCCTGGCCCCACAACACAGAGACAACCAGGCTGTCTAAAACTCCAAAAGGCACATTCACAAGATAAATGTCCCCAGTGTCTGCACTTCTCTGTGGGTGCTTTCTCTAGTCTTGCCCACATTGCCAGAAAATGGAGGCTCCTCCCCTCTACTTCCTGTGCATGGACTTCCTGGCAGCGCTGCCTCAGCCCAGGTCTCTCATTCACCAGATACTACACCAAGAATCTGCCTTTGTCCAATGGTTCCTGCAAGGCCTCAAGAAAAAAAAAAAGGTAGGTGGGCCAAGCTTGTGTTTAGCACCAGTTCAACCTCCCAAAGGGCCAACCCTTCCTCCGTGCTAGGCCTGGCACGGAGAAAATGCTCTAAGCTTGGGGCTTTATGAAACTATTTCCTCATGATGGCAGTATTGTTGCTAAACAGCCAACAGGCCTTGCCTCCAGGCGCTCAGCTCCCGCCCAACCAGTTTGAAAAAAAAAAAGAAAGAAAGAAAGAAACTTTGGCTGCCCAGGAATTTGCTCAACAAGAGGCAACTTGCTCCACTCTTAGGATTTTGCTTTTTGGCTCCCCTTTGAGATTAGAGGGAGATGGAAGCCACCCACCATCATCAGGCATCTTCTCTGGTCAAGAAGTTAATTTCCACAGGACGATGTCTTCCCATTGCTACTGGTCTTCACTCAGCATTGTGTCTCCAGAGTTTCCTGGTGATACCGAATTGTCTGGGTGGTACTAGAAGGAATCTCCAGGAACCATGCCTAAGAAGCAAAAGAAGGTATTTACATTTAAAGGCTTGGATTACAGTAAATCTAGGCACAGGGCCAGTTGGCTGTTGTCCTGACTCACATACTACTCCGTTAGGCCTTGGGTGTCCAGTGAGAGGCAGACTTTGGGTGGAGCCCAAGAGGAGAGTCCAGACAGTTAAAACTGAATGCTTTACACTGACCTACTTGGAGTGGTCTACGTATTGGAATGACTATAAATTTCAAGCAGATGGGTTTTGTCTCATGGTTTCATCATTTAGTATTGGAGCACAGGCATTTTCCCCTATCATTAAATGGCTCAACCCTTTCCTGTGACTTACTGGGTATGAGTGTTAACTATTTTTCACTTAGAATCAGTCTTAAGGCATTTTCTCTTTAGTAACTAAGACATGGAGTTTCCAAAAGATTCAGAAAATAATATATTCTGATCAAGAGAAAAGCAATGTCATAAAACTTTCTATTAACTACCCATAATCTTTTGCACATGTATTCTTGTTATTTCAATATATAGAAGCAAAATCGTATATACAAAAACACCACAATAAATTTACATTTAAATTGGATTTAGTTTATTTAATTTTAGAATTAAAATGTTCACTTCAGCTTCCTAGGTAGTTTTTGACAGTGACATAAAGAAATTTTCAAGCCCTCTGACCAGCACTGTGGCATAGTAGGTAAAGGCATTGCCTGTAATGCCAGCATCCCATATGGGCCCCGGTTCGAGTCCTAGCTGCTCAACTTCTGATCCAGCTCCCTGCTATGGCCTGGGAAAGCAGTAGAAGATGGCCCAAGTGCTAGGGCCCCTGCACCTGTGTGGGAGACCCAGAAAAGTTCCTGGTTCCTGATCAGCTCAGCTCCAGCCACTGCGGCCATTTGAGGATCGAACCAGCTGAAGGAAGATTTTTTCTTTCTCTCTCTCTCTCTGCCTCTGCCTCTTTGTAACTCTGCCTTTCAAATAAATAAACCTTAAAAAATAAAAGAAATTTGTAAGCCCCAAACTTTAGAAGATAGTCATGAAGATCTTCATTAGAAAAGTTAAGTTCTCATTTAATATTTTGGCCTGTAAGAATCTATCTACAGACATGAATATATGAATGTACAAATTATACCTCAGAAAATTTGGATGTTTTTACTCTTCCCAAATTTTTCTTTTAAATTTTTATCATAATTTTTTTCTTTAATAACTACAAGGAAAGCAGAATTCAATAAATGATGATTGAGATTGATATTCCTCAATTTCAGTTTGCCCAGATATGTACCATGGGGAAAAGTTAAGGTAGATTTATTCACACAATTCACATGCAGCTCTAATCTTTCATTAATATCTTTCTTTAAATAAATGCAAATACAAATAAAGACACAAATATATGGCACCCAAAATGTTCTATTCAAACCCATACTCACTATAACAAACATGATCACAAATACAGATCTTTAAAATTTCTGAATATGCATATAAATACACACACATACTTCTCCTTAAATATAATTATTCTATTACTATCTGTAGCTTTACATAGTTTTCAGCAGCATCTTATACCAGTGGTATGTATCCATACCAGTCTATTTTTGAGTATGTGAAACTTTGATGTTTTACTCTAGAAGACCTTCAAAGGATTATAAAGTAGAAAATATTCAGCAGGTCAATCACAGTGAAAAGAAACAAGCACTTTTAAAATGTTTGATGTATTATTATTTTCCCTTATGTACATATTAGATGTAGTTTTTTAAAGTAATATTCAGGGGGCCAGTGCTGTGGCATAGAGGGTAAAGCTGTCACCTGCACCCATGTGAGAGACCCGGAAGAAACTCCTGGCTCCTGGCTTCGGATTGGCACAGATCCGGCCATTGCAGCCAACTGGGGAGTGAACCAACAGATGGATGACACCTCTCTCTCGCTCTCTCTCTGCCTCTTGTTCTCCGTATAACTCTTCCAAACAAATAAATAAATCTTTAAAATAATAATAATAAATAATATTCAAATTCCCATGTTCCCTGTTAAGGCAAGTTATCCTCCTTTTAATTTGGAGATTTTTCAAATATAAACAATTTTTAGAAATACTGACTGTTTAAAACAATGACCACTTTTTAAAATTCAGGTAAAATTCATGTAGCATAAAATTATCCATTTTAATGTGTGTCAAGTCAGTGGCATTACGTACACTCACTGCTATGTATTCATTACCTCTATCTGGTTCCAAATAATTTTAATTCTCACAAAAGAAAGCCCTGGACCCATGACATAGGTATTGCCACCCTCCTCCCCCAATCCCCACTCCTAGGCCTGGCCCCAGGCAGCCACCACTCTGTTTTCTGTCACTATCGATTTTCTTATACTGTATATTTCATATACATGGAATCATTACAGTATGTGGCCTTTTATGTCTTGCTTCTTCTCCATGGTATTTCAAAGTTCATCCATGTTATAAAATACATCAGCACATCATTTCCTTTAAGGGCTGAAAAATATCCATTGTGGTGTATACCCCTTTTTTTAATGCATTCATCATATTTTGGATATTTGCCTTCTGTTCACATTCTGGCTATCGTTAATAGTGCTGCTATGCCCATGTATGTACATGTAGTTGTTAACTCCCTGTTGTAAATCCTTTGGGGTATATACCTAGAAGTGGAATTGCTAGGTTAAAGAGCAATTCTATGCTTAAAGTTTGGGAAAACTGTTTACCATACCCGCTACACAATCTTGCATCCCAACAAGTAGGAGGGTTCCAGTTTCTCCAAGCTTTTGCCAATCTTGTATGTTCCCTTTCTAAAAATCCATTCTAGTGGATGTGAAGTGGTATCATGAAGTACTTTGGTTTGTGTTTCTATAAAGACCGATAATATTAAACATCCTTCCATGTGCTCCTAGGCCATGCTCCTGTCTTGTGTGGAGAGAGGTCTCTTCAAATCTTCTGCTTTGCTTTGCGTTGCGGTTCTGCTTCTCTTTAGGAAGTACATCTGTGCCTACTATATACCGGGAACAGGCTTTCTCTTTGTGTTTTGACCCTGCTGCAACAAGGGATCCATGAACAACGGCAAGTTGAAACACAGTGAAAATGGCTACCTCTTGCTCCAAAGGCCAGGAACCAGAGACAAAAGGCCACCATAGCAGGCATTTCTTTCTGAGTGCATTCCTCTGCTCCCGTGCACAACTGAAGCAACCCAAGCCCTGCCCCCCACGACTTATTTGCCAGTGCTTCCTGGCAGATGCTGGTTCATTGCGGACCTCTCACTCTCCACATCCTACATCAATAGAGCGCCAACGTCCAGGTCTGTGTTTAGAACTCACAGAAAAAGCCAAAGGGGCCGAATTTGCAGCCCAAGCTTCACGCCAGACTTTCCGCAACAGCTAGGCCTCATGGGAAGGAAGCTGTGATGGCGCTGGGTGTTTTGAAACTATTTCCGCACGATGGCAGTAGAGTTTCAGCTATACTTAAGTGCCTGGTCCTGGTGTCCTCCTCTCCCGCCCTTTCTGTCTGAAAAAAACGCCACCAAGACACAAAATCACCAGAAAACACGGTGGTCCTCCATTTTGTCCAGTCTGTTAACACAGAACGTTCCTTTGATAAGAGGTACATTTCAACTTTTACTTCTGATTTCGCTGTCCGCACACTTGTAGGATATTTCCTCATGGAGCCTGGTTTTTGCCGAGCATTTAGAAAATAAACATATGCTGATGAAGTAAAGCGCCATCATAGAATCTGCTACGACAACTGACCAACCTTTGGATTATTTCCTCCCATTCTTTTCAATATACACACATATTTCTGTAGTGAGGTCCAGGCAAAAAGTAAATCTATATCAAAATCAATGTGTACATTGTGGTTTGGATCAGACCTGGCGTGTTTTAGCAAAGCTTTGAAGGGGATCCGCTGGCATGCTTTAGGCGCCTCTGGAAACACTCTTATTATCTCTGCTTATATGAATAAGTATGTACATGAATACAGAGCCTCCTGACTATAATAATCACCATGACTAAAATACAGTTATTAAACAAATACACTCATATAGGTGCATACACATTAAAGTGAATGTTTTTTTTGAACATAATTGAACATGCACAGAAGGAAGTTTTTAAAATACATTATCTTACGCAATTACAATGTTCCTATATATACACAAACATATGTACATGCATAAATATTTGTGCATATTTTTTCTTTATATTCTACTCTACACAGTGGTATGTTATCCACAAGATTTACATAAATAATTCAGATTAATGCAAATATTCCAATTCTCAGAAAGCATAAAACCATAAACAAGTGGTTTTCCAATCCTTAGAGTAAATGACTTTTAAAATGTCTTTATCGTATATTCACATATCTTCTTTTACACACATAACATGAACTTTCTCTTTTATAGTTTACATTCCTTTGTAATTCCAGTATGGGATGCCGGGGCCGCAGGAATCAAGTGAGCCACCGCACTGGCCGCAATTATCTATTCTTGGGTTAATTGATAGTATTTTGTTGATAAATCTCAGAACATTCCTTTATTGTAAAAAAAATAACAAATCAGTAGTGCTTGAATCCTAAGTATCATATAAGCATCTGGAAAAGAAATAAAAAATTGAACAATTATAAAGAAATAAATGAAGAATATCCTGTGCAACAGAAGTTCAATAAAAACTCAAAATTTTTATTGATTGGATTGTGTCCTTTTTTGTGTTTGTTATATATTTGTCAGTGTTGGACCTTGTATATAGGTGTATGAAATTTGTGTTGCTATAAAATCAGCTAGCAACATGTGGGAATTTCCTGCTGATTTGAAATTTTTCCCTCCATTATTTTTCTCAGGTCACATATAGAAAGGCTGCTTATAATGTCACTAAATATATTTCAGATGATCAATTTTATGCTAAGTAATAAATTATTAGAAGTGTTTTTCTCCTTTGACTACTTGAGCAAGAATTTATTCATTACAGCTCTTAGATATCACCGCATATTTTAGAGGAAAATATAATACTTAATGATATCAACATTATGTCT